CATGCCTAAATGCACTGAGTTGCAGCCATGTGATTGGCTGCTTAGAAATTAAGTGTTAACGAGCAGTTGGACAGGTGTACCTAATAAAGTGGCCGGTGAGTGTATATGTTTTTATAGTCCACATTAAAACCTAAGACTGTGTCTTTAACTGGTACAGCTCAGGGCTGCTGGTCTACTCCAAAGAAACTTCATCTCTTCCCCCTATTTCCTCTGTTTTCTGATGTAGACCGTGGAGACAATCAATCACTCTGTAGCAAAAGTATCATCACTGTGATTCCTCTGCTCACCATGTTTGTGTTGCTGTTGCCAGTTTTGTGCACGTATGTTCTGATGTCCTCTGAGTTAAACTTTTCTGGCAGCAATTTTCAAATATTATATGTGGGTCCCAGTAAGTATCTGGAGGGAAGTGAATTGTACTTTAAATAGATAACACTGATGGTGGCAAGCTGCATTGTAGCCACAGCTGCCCTGGGGCTCACTGACAGAAGTTAGGCTGCCGTACACTGGCGCCACCAGTCCCTCCGACTACCATCAGTAGGCAGTGTTGGTAAAGTGTCTTACCCAGGGACATAATGACACTGAAAACAACTGCTGGGGCCTGTTACCCTACTATATGGTAAGGTTTTTCTTGTCTCCAAACAACTACAGAATTATCAGATTTTTGTTTGATCCAGAATATTTTCAAATTATTTTAGGTTTTTTTCCAGGAAACTATTCTTATTTAGGAAACTCACATTAGAGAGGAAGCCCTTAGGGATGAGGCACTCAGGGAAGGTGTCAGATAATGCAAACCAGAAGGGAAAGGAGCTGGGGAGAAAAGAACCACCAAAGAACCACCAACATGCAGCTAAAGAGGCAAATTACCAAATGCTATTATTGGCTGAAGGGGACGGTCTGAAGGATAGAACGTAGTGTCAGATATGAAAGAACAAGATGCACAGATTTACTGTTCCAGGAAAACTACCATCTCACATAGACATGCTGGATAGGATAAATATGAATAGATAAAGACTGTTAGTTCTAGGTGGGAATTACCTTTCAAGGTGTTGTCATATAACCAAGCTAAGATTCTGAGAAATGACCAACCAACACTGGTATCATTGGTAAGTAGTACATGGGAGCATCTGTCATTGATGTAGCCATCCAAAACCATCAAAACCTCATAAAAAATAAAAATAGGTGTAATATTGAAATACCCACAGCTAAGAGAAGAGCTGAAGAGAGGCTGAAAGGTTGTAAGCCTGATTGTTCTTCGGGCAAACATTGTTTATTTAAGCTTTGCTCAGGATTTAGGCGTTCAGTTTGCAAATACAGACAGGGCTCGATGTTAACCATAGCCCGATCTCTCGAGGCAAGTAGTTTTTATTGTTGGGAGAGTACAAATTTCTTTGCATTGGCCTGCCGGGCAAGTGCAATGATTGCAAAACAAAATTATGACTCAAAATTACTTTAAAATCACCGACATTCGATGAAAATGACCCAGAAGCGTTGCCGGCGCCATTTTTGTTGTTTTGTACAGATTCTCGTGTGATTTGAAAAAGCCGGGTGATTTTCCGCCAGATGGCTTGATTTTTGTCCACTTAGCGGTAATTTTGATGTAGTTAACAAAACGACAAACGGCTGCATTTATTTTGTCAGGGAAAACTAATCCTGAGTCAGTTAAAAGTCAGGGAATTATGTAAGACTGTGGAAACCCTGTATAAAATAACTATGTATAATGATTCTCTAGAAAAGTCACATTATATTAATAGTATTATCTTGTATAAACATATCATGACTCTAAAATAAGTTATTCATTTGTGACATTGACTTCTGTCTTGTGATTTATCTTAAGTTTTTAACCTGTCAAGTTTTTTTTTTAGATTTTTGACATTACAATTTATATTTTTCCAAGCACACAACAGTTTAAAGCAAAGTTTAGTTTGAAAAGAATGTGCAGGAAGGATTGAAAAGCATGTTATCACGGTAATGTAGGCTTGAGTTCATTATCTGACGCATGCATATACACACCAGGAACCTGGAAACTTAAAAAATACTGAATTACAAAAAACATTTAAAAAACAAACATGTTTCTTTGGTGTATATATACAAAAATGAATATTAGGAACTATATTTATCAAACATTATACTGGGCAAGTAAAAATTGTTTCTGGGCAAATTAAATGTAAAAGTCACTTGCCCAAAGGGCAAGTGGTAAAAATCCTTAACTTCAACCCCTGACAGATATTAGTCATAATTGGGTAACTTCTACCACTAGCTGGCATCTAATTTGCTTCAATGTAACTCTTGATACTGTAGGCATCAATGCATATGTTGGTATGTATGTAGGCTAATATGCATCAGCCTGAGTGGGAATTGGAGAGGTAGTCTACAAGGGTTTAACTATAGCATGAGTGGTTCAACTGTACTAGCACATATTTATGGTTCACAGGAAATTGGATGCATTCATCTACGACGCTGCAGTGCTGAACTACATGGCTGGCAGGGATGAGGGCTGTAAGCTGGTAACCATCGGGAGTGGCAAAGTGTTCGCCTCCACTGGCTACGGCATCGCCATCCAGAAGGACTCTGGCTGGAAACGTGCTGTGGATTTGGCTATCCTGATGCTGTTTGGAGATGGTAAGGTTGGACAGTTTTGGTAACACACGAGTAAAGACCAATAATGCTCCACCGAGGTCTAGAAACACCCCTTATTTTTGACATTTTACTGTCTATAAGGTTGAGTGTTTTGTATTCTTCGGTTGTGGTCTCAAAGTCCATAGAAATGTTTGTGTTTGGTACTTTAAGTTTACATATTTTCAGTCAAGTACCTTAACATGTTCAAGGTTTATTGATTTGTAGCCAGATTTTGAGCTTTGAATCATTCTGACACACAGAAGCTTAGCAACAAGCCACTCTAAACAGATAAAAATATGTGTCCAATTCTTTATGAAAATCATGTAAAATGTACCAAACATCATGACAGGCAGAAAAAATACAGTTCTAATAAGATGACTCTAAAGAGCTATTACCCTAAACCTTTTTATACAGTAGATGATCCAATAAATATGGCGTAGCATTAGGGTAATACTGAGTCATTTTATTGGTATTATGAGGGTAAAAATGATGAGACAGTAAAGTAATTTTAATAATAAGAGGAAAGCTTTGATAGAGTGAGCTAAGCTCACCCAAACTGAAGCAACACTTTTTATCTCATGGGGAAGGCTGTCTTTTCTCCAGACAGTTACATTAAGACTACTTTTTTAATCTTGCAATATTACGACATTATTCTTTTGAAAACCTCTATGCTCGTAATGCTAGGACATTACTGTAATGTCCTAATAAACCTATTTCTGAATTTTGTCAATTAATATGTATATATCTTAGTGTGGCCCTAATAATCTGTTGTAAATTAAATTCTGGTGTGCTGATTTTTATTTTCTCTGTTCCTGAAAACTACTCCAGATATTTTCATTAGCTGTTTTCATTTTATTTTTGTTTTTTAGTCTGCAATTAATTATTTTCCTCTCTACTTATTTAAGAAAATCCTTCCTAACTCTCACTCTTTCATTCTGTTTATTTATATAGTGGCAATTAATAACATATATCATCTCAAGGAACTTTATAAAGATAATTAAACAATTAAACCAGAAAACTGTGGCTGGTTTCTTATCTCTTGGTTTCTTAATGCTTCAGCCTATTAATTTAAAAAAAACATTTTTTAGATTTCTTATCTGGCTTAATATTTATCAGTAGGGCTGTGTCATATGGACATGAAAATATACCACAAAGAAGCCTTTCATATCAGTTTATATCCATAATTATTATCCATTTTTCTCTTATTTGAAATAAAGACCAGGGGGAAAAAGGCCGACATTAAATTGTAACCCTAAGCCTATTAAATGTTTCCTGTAGAAAGAGCATAGCCTACAGTACCTTACTTATCTTGGCACTGACTTCGAGAGGCAAAATTTTTTCTTCCCCCGCAGAAGGCGGTGAGGTTCTGGGTCAGTGTTTAATGAAATTAAAAAACTTTCAGTTGACGTACTTCTGTCAGTATTGATCATTCTTTTATTGCCCAGGCTAATTCTAATGGCATTTTTTTCAGCAGCCTTCCCGCTGTAAACGGTGATTATTTACTAATGTTAGACGTAGAGCTGATGTCTCTCTGTGTGTGACGGAACAGTCTCTGTAACCTGGGATATTAGTGTTATTTTAAACGGTAACAAATTATTACGGCTCCAGGTTTTAATGATTAGGATTATTAGTTTGCTTCCTGTTACTAAGTGTTAACAGCCGTATGCAAGCAGAAAGCAGATCCTTATCTCTGAGATTTGACTAATTCCTTCATTATTTACAAATCCAACATGTTCAAGAAGCACAGAAGAGTCAAACTGATCTCTTCAGAAAACTTGGAGGATGGAAATAGAAATAAAGCTCCTGTCACACCTTGGCGATTTAGCCAGCATATGCCTGAAGTACTAAAAAATATCTAGCAAAAACGCTGACATATGTTGTATAAGTGATGGGTATGTGAAGTACTCTGAAGCACAGCAACATACGGCAAGTATGCAGAGAAATTTTGAGGATGCACATTGCTGTCCCCCTCAGGACACTGACTTGTGACATTTCATGGGCATTACTCTGCCGTCCGTTATGCATAAGTTAGGCATTGAACATTAGTTCTGGACTCGTTATGAATAATCTGCATACGCCCAAAATTGAAAAAAAATACGTACTTAGAAGGTCCAGCGTATGCCAGCGTTTTAGAACATATTGGGACGTCAGGCATACGCTGGCTAAATCTTCAAGGTGATATATCTGAAGTTGAAACACAATAAGGTTGGAAGATCCCTGTGTTGTAGCATAGAGCTGCTTGTTCCTCTGTTTTCGACAATGATTATTTTTGAGTGTACAGAGTTTAGAACCACATAATGAAACTTCAAAGGGTAAAAAGGCAGCTCTAAATGTTTGGAATAATAGGACCGAAGGACAAACTGTTGATGGATAACTCCTGAGCCGCGCTGTTTCTGATCAGTGAGCATTTAACAGTGATGTAACAGCAGACCTCCTGTTATTGTAGGTGTAAAAGCTTTAATGTAGACTAACTGTGAATATTTAGCAGCTCATGAAACTGTTTGAGAAAATGTTTTTGACAGACATAAAAAATTGATTAAATTAGCCAGAAGGAGCAATCGTAGGAGAAACCCTTGTTGTGCGTATGTTTCTATACATTGTTGCTCTGCTGATTGACAGTCAGTGTCATAAAGATTTCAGAAACAGCCTGCATATGTTGGCAGGATAGCATGGGAAATAAATCAGTAGGGGATACGGGAAGCAGATACTTATCTGGTTTATGCTGCAGCATCTCAACAGAGAAGTTGGACTGAATTTGTCAGGGAAGTAATTTGCTCCTTCCTTTGTTATCAGTTTCTGTCAGCGTTTTAACTTTTTACTCCACCAGTTTGATCCCTCTCACATTTTCTTCTCACTAGTTAGAAAACTGGGTTCCTACAGTCTGGAAAAATCTTAAAAAGTAAAGAATTTTATTCGCACTGAGAAGTAGCAGATTGGTGATGTTATGATATGAAAGTTTAGTTTGTGTGTGTATACCTACATAAATATATGTGAAAGGGAATGAATAGATGTTAGATTTTTTTTCCCACCACAGCCGCAACGAGTAAGATCTTTTGGAGAAAGGTGGACCTTGACTGGTGTGTATTGAACAGATTCATTTACTTTAAAGTAGACATTAAACTGTTAGGGCATTTTTTTCTTCCTTGTATAAGATCATATAAATAGAAATATATATTTGAAAAATATCTATTGATCTAAAAATGTCAGAATCTTTAAGTTTTTAGAGCAGACAATATTTTCACGGACCGGGGGGGTAAATACGATCAAGTAAAATGATACGACTGGCATAAAATCAAATACAAACAGCAAAAAAATAAAACTCACTATTATGTTGAATTAGTGGGAGCCCTGAGCTTGTTTCTCCGAAACAAGCCGGTCGCATCTAGGCGTAAGGCGAGACAATGACACACGAAGTGTGCTCCTGATGTCCAGTCTGCTCTGTAGGTTTGTTTTGGTCGCTGTAACTGCAGAAAATCCAGCTTCCCAAAAATATGATGTTATAGATAGGATGAGTCTTGAACTGAATTAACCTGTGTCAAGAGGCACAGATGCACCGACTGATGTAATTGGGAGAGAATACCGCAATTTTTTCTATTTTTCAAAATAAAACATCACTCAGACTCTGATCATCGATAAATTATATATATATATATATATATATATATATATATATATATATATATACACATTTTTCTGTGCGGCCCGGTACCAAATGACCGACGGACTGGTACCGGTCCGCGGCCCCGTGGTTGGGGACCGCTGCTTTAGAGTAAAGGTGCAGAAGATAGTCTTGGTCCTGACCAAAGTAAAATACTCCCCCATGCTATGTCATCCGGGTCATAGTCATTCCATGAGATAAGGATACACAAGGCTGTAATATAAAATGAGAAGACATTGAAGTGACAAGATGGCTAACTTTCCTATTTATACCAATTGATCTGTTAATGTTCCTACTAACACAATCAACCTGCTCCAACTTTCATCAATTATACTTTGTAAGAGATGCCTATGGTAACTTAGCAGATTCAAGTTTGATCAGAGTTAAATCTTTATCATGCGACTTTCTGACACTAAAAATAATCAAAGTAATTTTTTGTTTTTACATTCAAAGATAACATATTTAACTTTAACCATACAGCATAGTAATAATGTAATAAAGATTGAGTGTAGAGCTAGGGGTTTGTCCTCTGCAAACATAATTGATGAAAGCACTTTTGTAACATTAGGCAAGTCATTTTTATCAATAAGGAATAACAGTGGTCCAAGAATGGTCCCCTGTGGAACTCCACATTGTAATTTAGCTCTGCTTGAAAAATAAACCCCTAATGGAAATAAACTTAGATCTATTGGGAATGTAATTTGATAAACCTTTTTAAGAGACATTTCTGAAACCATTTCTGTATAATTAAGCTAACAAAATCTCATGATTTACCATATCAAATGCTTTTGAAAAGTCTAAGAAGATACTTCAAGTGAACTCATTATTTGTTTGAGCAGCTGTAAGCAACAGTTAACTACCAGGTGGAAGGATTTTTGCAAGAACCATATCGGTCAAGGTAAAGAACATTACAACATTACATTAGAGTCTATATAAAAACGATTTCATTTATGAAGAGTTTTTTCTTTATATAAAAAAAGAAATTTAAAAGCATGGTGGATATTGGTCTAGGTTTGGTTAAAAAAAAAAATAATAATATTAGTAAACAAATAAAGTGGGTTGGATTATCAGCTTTGTATAGAGGAAGAACTTTTACTTTTTCTGGCACACACCTTTTACAGACAACTGTAAAATGACAAATGTAAGACATTGTAAGACATTAAATCATTTTCAGAATATTATAACCTCACTCTTTGAATATATAAATACTATTAGGTTTACAGTTTTTTATTTTTGCTTTTTGTTTTTTTTTTTTATGTTTTTTCCCCCCATTTTTCTTCTTATATATTTAATAAATTCAGTTCAGTTTAAGTTCAGTTCAATGATATGATAAGATGAATACGGT